GCATGGAATAGCGGGTACCAGCTCCGATACCAATGCAATCAGACTCGTCTTATTCACACTTTACATGTATGTGAACAGCAGCACAGCACACTGGCAACATGCGCCCACTCAGAACTCAGAGATATGGCTTCCAGGTACGAGAACTGGCTATGGTGACTGAGCGCCCAAACAACTCGCTGTCCACACACTGGATCACCCTGGATATCCCATACACGTCACTCTGAACACTCGAACACACACACACACACCCTTCCTACTAACTACAGCTATGGCAGCTATGGCTGCCTCTAACCTATCGCTATTCTAACTCCTCCTCTCTGCCCACTGCGTCCTCCGGGCTCACTGCAGACCTCCTTGCACAAGTCGCTATGGCAGCGCTTCCGCATGGCTCACGCAGGAATGAATGAATGGTTGGGCGCTGCCTCTTGATTTATACTTCTGTAGGTCGTTGGTCTGGCCCATTTCCCTGGCCCAATGTGCACACAGTCCCGTGCGGTGCTTGCTTGACTGACTGGGGACTGGGACTGTTGACTCAGCAGGGTAGACTTCTACCACTTGCCCACTTGCCTCACCACTTGACCACTTGCCTCTGCTTAAACGTGAGACAGCTACGAAAGGCCACCACTAGGACCGTCCGGAAGGCTGGGACTTGGCCTTTCGTGACTGTACCAGCTGCAACTTCGACCCTTCGTGACTGTAGCAGCTACGGACTTGACCTTTCTGGACTGTAGCAGCTACGGACTTGACCTTTCTGGACTGTAGCAGCTACGGACTTGACCTTTCGAGACTGCTACAGCTATGACCACTTGACCTGGCCAGGACTCCTACCCGACAGGTCTACAGATCGAACCCATGTTGCCTACGGGCCCTATGACAACTTACCGACTGTTGGAAATACACAGGTCGGGGGGTCAACTCTACGGGACGACACAGGTGCTGTACGCAGGTAAGGTTGGGGTCTAGGGGTCGAACCCTGGGTTCTGCGTCAGCTACTGCTAAAAGGTGAAAACCGTTTCACGCCCGCCGTCCTAAATTTGAGGTCCTCCGAGAACATTTTAGTCCAAGGCAGGACCTTTACCTTTTCTGTCACGCTCATAGGCTCTGACTATGTCAGGGGCTGTTCCTAGAAGTTCTGATCTTGTGAACTAACGGTCATCCTCCGACTCCTGATATGCGAACCGGACCTTGTACTGTTTCTGTGGACGACCTCTACCTCCTGTTCTAAACACATCCTTATCTACAATGCCATCAATGTCATAACTTCCATCCATATCCGGAGGGATCATGGATCTTCTTGAAGGGAACTGTTCACTTGTGACACACGGCAACAGCTTTGAAGCATGGAACACGGGATATGTGTGGAGGTGTACTGGGATCTGTACAGTGTAGGTCGGCCCATCCTCTCCGCCCTTGACTTCTAGAACCGGCCACGGTCCTCTATACGCAGGTAGTAACTTCTGCGAGATGTTTTCTTCAGGCGCAAACTCTTTTGCTTTGACCCAGACTAAGTCGCCTACTTGAAACTGTGATGGGCGACGGTGCTTGTTAGCTTGTTCTATCATTCTATGCTGGGCCTTTCTAAGGTTATCAACAACAATTGCTAACTCTTTCTCATGCTGTATTGCGAACTCCCTAGTTCCGGGCGGTAGCCTGTGAATCTGATCTCGGTTCAATCCTTCGAATGGTTTGCGGGGTCTAAAGGACTTGTGTAACTCATTGGGAGTGCAGCAGGTGGATAGGTGCACGCTGTTGTTGTATGCACTAGCTACCTTAGGCAACATCTCATCCCAGTTGATCTGATCTGGTCTGATGTACATGCGTAGAACTTGCTGTAGGATCTTATTCATTTGCTCAGTCTGACCGTTAGTCTCAGGATGGCGGCCAGACGACATCAGCAACTTAGATCCATACACTCTCATGAGTTCTTGCCAGTTCTGGCTGGTGAAGCGACTATCTCTATCGCTAACTATCGACAATGGGATTCCATTCTCACTTACCCAAAAGTCGAAAAACTTCTGTATCACTACATCTGTGCGTGCCTCTGCAGGCAAAGGAACAAAAACTGCGTATTTACTAAAGCGGTCAACTATGACCATGACTTGGCTCTTACCATGTCTACTCTTGACCTGGGTGTCCATAAAGTCTATGGACACTGAGTCTCCCGGCTGATCGGGGATAGGCAAGGGTCTGAGAAGACCTAGAGGAGCGCGCGTAGTGGATTTATTACGCTGGCAGACTTTGCAACTGCGGACATACTCTATGCAGTCATTCTTCATCCCTGGCCAGGTATATGCACGCATCAGATTGGCTAGTGTCTTTTGCCAACCGAAATGTCCCTCTGTGTCATGGCATTCCCCCAAGATCAAACTACGGATCTCTTCGCTGTTGGGAACGCACAAGCGGTCAAACACGTTAGTCTTCTCAAACAGCAACCCGTCGGTAGTGCGGTAATCTGGTTCAGTATCTGGGGCCTCTCTAACTCTCTTTAGGAGGTCGCTATAGATAGGGTCCTGCGCATATGCCTGCCTCACCTTCTCCTGCAGGTCTCTCCCTATATCCAGATARTGTACTACGGCTCCAAAGTAGTCTGATCTCCTACTCAGAGCATCCGCAACTACGTTGTACTTGCCCTTCACTGGCTTGAGCTCAAAGTCGTATTGGTCTATCTCTGCGGCCCACCTAGTCAACTTAGGTGTCATCTTGGCCTGAGTCTTTAGCCATCTAAGTGTTTCATGGTCAGAATACACTTCGAAGTGCCTCCCAAGCAGATAGTGCTTCCAATGGTCTAAAGCCTGCCTGAGAGCGTAGAATTCTCTCTCGTACGTGGAGGTAGTGACCTTCTCACAGGGCATCCTYGCTGACATGAACTCTACGGGTCTGTAGCCATTGTCGTCGTCTTGCTGCAGCACGGCGCCTATCCCATACTGACTTGCGTCCGTGGTGACGACAAATGGCAAAGACAGATCTGCTACCTTGAGGACAGGGTACTCTATTAACGCGCGCTTTAACTTCTTGAGCGCAAACGTACAATCTTTGTCCCATTGCCAGATTGCGTCTTTCTTTAGCAGTCTGCGCAAGGGAGCGGCGATGGTAGAAAAGTTCCTCACGAACTTCCTATAGTAGTTAGCTAGACCTAGGAACGACCGCAATTCTGCTGCCTTTTGACTGCTGGGCAGCCCAACGGGCCTGTCTATACTTAGGACAAAATTTTATTACGTGGGCCGAATCACCACAAAATATGCACTGACCCCGGTCCACGCGTTCCTGCCATACGCGCTGGTCCAAGCCCAAATCCTCCCAGGGCCTGCCCTGTGGCAAGCCTGGGTGCCAACCTCCTTGAGGTGCCCTTTCACCTCTTCGCTGTGGGGACCGATTTGAACCCTGGCGATTTGGCGGGGGACCTTGACCCCTACTTCCCGCTTGGCGGTTTCCTTGGCCGCCAACCCCCTGTGCACCCGGTCCTCGGCCTCCCATGGCCTGGCCCCTTTGGCCCTGGCCTCCTCCTCTACCTTGCGACCTCCCTCCAGCCGCGACAGCAGCATAAGACCTCCCCTGTCCCACACTACTGTCCTCTTCCCCTAGGCCCCACTCAATCTGTTCGTATGGGACCTCGTCCGTACCACCTTCCTCTAATGTTAGGATCAAGTGATCCTCGGCCTTAACTTGGCCTAAGATGGTGCGGTCCTTCCACTTTTTCCCTTTCTCCAAGTCTTTGTGCCAGAAAGTGGTAACTGGCATGGACTTCGACTCATACAGGACGACTTCTCTACTCAATGCATGGTAAGTGATGCTGGCCTGTTGAGACTTGTCAAAGAAATGCCCGCGTAGGGCCTCTGGCATGGCACGATAAAACAACTGGACCAACTGGGGCTCAGTGTCCCCATGGTCCGGGACGGCTACCAAGTCGTCCATGGTACCCTTGAGTGCCTTGGCACTCCTCCACTGCCGTGAGTGGATTGTCTGCAACTTGTCTGAGGCTCTAACGCCTCGCGTTGGTTCAACAAATCGCTCCTTGAGGAGCTTAAGGAATTGAGGAAGGGGGGTGACTTTGGAATATGTGACCAGGTTGTTTTCGCAACCGGCCGCGCGCACAAGAGATCTAGCAAAGCTAGCTGCTTCGTCCTTGAGGGCCTGGAAGGCCACGAGGACTTGCTCCTCTGTAAGGATATGCTGCAAGTAGATATAGTTGTTGACACTGGCCTCCCAGTTGTCAAAGTTCTCCTCCTTCTTACCCCCGTACGCATCTGGGAACTTGAGCTTTACAGGCTCTTTACGGGGTCTACCTTCGCCCTCTACAGCAGCTATGGCCTTGGCACCCTCAATGGCGCCTTCGCAATACTTCCCTACATTTTCCTTCAATTGTCGGACTTCGCCCCCGATGTGGGTGACGATCTCGCGCGCGAACTCTCTGAACCCTAACCGCATGGCCTTCAGGGTAATGTCCTGCCCTGATTGGCTTGCCGTTCCTCTAACCAGGCTTCACTCAACAACTCAAAGTATCCCAACACCTTGTCCATCTTGGCAGAAACATCTGCCTGTGCCTGGACTTCCTGCCTACATGCTCGCACTTTTTCCACCTCTGCGGTCAGTCGGCTGGCCTCCTCCCTTCTCCTCTTCTGCTCCCTCTTCATTTTCAGTTTTCACTCTAGTTTCTTCTCCTCCTCGGCCTCTTGCCGTTCAAGGGGGTCCTTGATTACCTCGAGGGCCCTGGCAAACGCCTCCTTCTCCTCCTGCGTCACGTACATTTGTGCTTCCTCATCTTCACCCAACGATAAATTATCAACCCACTCACTTATTTTCCTCTCCATCTCTGCATCTTCCTCCTTCTGCGTGCCACTACTCTCTTCTCTACTCTCAATCCTCATCCTCTCTTTCTCTTCTTCTGTTGCCACTTCTTCGACAACTTTCTTCTTTTTCTCCATCTCCTCCTCTATCTCTTTCATTTTCGCCGCCTGTTCCTCTGCGATAGCCTTCAGCTTAGCTTGCTTCTCGCGCTCTTTCCTCTCTCGATTCTCTTTCACTAAGGCGGCCATCTTTGCTTGTTGCTCAGGGGTGTAGGGGCTAGTCTCCTTCCCAGTACGGGTCTCAACCATGGTGATAAGTGTACAACCGGGTTAGTGGTTCCAAACCTCACCACATAGACGCTGACCCCTGACTAACAGACCTACCGACTCAATCTAAGACTCACAGAATCCTGACAGGGATCCTGCCACCTAGGATCTCTAGCCTAGACCTATGCTATGGCTGTCACTACTAGACATGCAGCTGATCTGGAGGCATTTAAGGAGATCCCCCGTAACTCCTCAAGAATTATTTAACGTCGCAGACAGGACGACGTGATCAGCTTGGCCTTGCCTGTGCTTTCAGCCCACAACTCAACCTTTCCGGCCTACTGTGCCACACCGAGCAGCCCGCCGGTCTGTACTGGTCCTTGGGAGGGTTCGTATCCCCCGGGACAGTCGAGTCGTCATACACAGATCCTCAGCCTTACTAGGTCCGGTAGGGGAGTGGTTCAAACAGGCCCTCAACACTTAAAGACTGCCTGGTGTGTCAGCCCTAAATGCCGTTCAGGCCCACTGAGTCCTACCAACCGTTTCCAGCCGGTCAGCACCGGTCCTTGGGAGGGTTAGGCCCCCCTGGAAAGTTGGATCACCCAAAGCCTTAGCCCTACAAGGTCAGACTAGGGTTTCGACATCCAAGCCCTATCCTTCATCCACAGAGTGCTATCACCTAGGACAGAAGAGACTCAATGCAGAAAGAATAGACAGACTGACTTGACTCAGCAAGTACCGGGGTGTGTGTGCACATCCATAGGGCGAGGGGTAGGCTGAAGGCTTGGCGAGATATTACCAACTCCAGCTTGGTCAAAGTCTTGGTCAACGCCGATCAACGCTGCGGTCAACCCCTGGTCAATCCCCGGTCAACCCCGGTCAACCCCGGTCAACGCCTCTGGTCAACCCTCTGGTCAGCTATGCCTGCCGGCTCGTCTTCCTCGCCAACCCCCTTCTTCTTCTTCACCT